TCCCACCCTACAGCTACAGCACTGCACACTTGAAAGCCATACGAAGCTTGAAGTTACGCAATAGTGCCTTCACACACACACACAGAATAACAATACGATCAGGCCTGCACGTTACCAACCTTTCACTTGGGTCTCATATTCGGCAATAATCTCTTTGTCCTTCTTGACTTTCGCCTGAGATGACATGTTGAGGAGAATGGGATTGTGCAATCCTCGGGCAGCAATCAGCGTCTCCGTTGCCACAATGCAGCGATTTGCCCGTCTGCAGTCCTCTCCGGAGTAGTTGAGCAACAATCAGATGCGAATCATTGCCCGCCTGACTCAACTTCTTCTTCTTCGCGGATTAAACGCACTTGAGGCTCTGCGAGGTTGCCTTGCTGCGTTGGAGGCGACGTTGATCTAAAAGTGCATAATGATAATCTTCCTTCCTGACCACTCCTCTTCAGCAGCGCTCTTCAGTGGATCGGAAAACAATTCACGTTTGATGTTCATTTCATGGCAGCCTCATAACATAGAGTCCCTTCTGCACAATACTGTCCAGTCTGCCTTTTTTACTCTCTCTCTCTCTCTCTCTCTCTCTCTCTCTCTCTCTCTCTCTCTCCCTCCCTCCCTCTCTGCAAGTTCAATGCTGCTGCAGAAAAGGCTGAATGGACGTGAAAGTCAATGTGAGACTCCTCCCCCAACCCCCTCCCTCCTTTATTTCTTCACCAGTTTTATCCTCATGGATGATTTCAGGTTTGTCTCAGTGAACTGATGTGCAGACCTGTGCCAGTAAAAGCGGTTAAAGTACAGTCCAACCCTGAAAGGATGCATGAACAGTTTAGTGATGAAGATTTGATTGTTTCCAGGACAACAAGATTAACATGTTTCCTGCACACACACAGAGTGGGTAACTTGACAGAATTTTTTTATTTTTTTTTCAAAGTAAAGGCTACACCCAGCCATCACAGTTTTTGAGAAACAACAGTGAAAAGTGGTGAAATACTGTCATCTTCATGCTGTAAGGAATAAACGATTTTGGGAGAAATCCAATGCTGGAACATTTGTCATTAAGAGTCTCTATGTGGCACATCTAAAAAACAAATCATATAAACATAAAAATAAAAAAAAGGATGATGTAGGCCTATAAGTATTAAAATATCATCTTATTTGGAGTAAAAAGATGAAAGAATCCAGCTGACACATAGCTGAAAGATGTTAGCCATTTACATGAAAAAGAAAAGATTAAATATGAATCGTTGATCAAAAGACTATCAGGTTATTCACATTGGACTTATAGACTTAAAGCTTCAACTTTCAGGATAAAAATTCGAAAAATTATACACAAAAACAACAATTTTCCCCTTAAAATAACTTGATTGTTACTTGATTATTCTCAGGTGTGGATGTGACCACTGGCTGACATTATAGACACTTGTTTCTGAGTTGAACAGAGAGAGGTGTTACAGATGACATGTGTTACCACTTCAGCACTCCCCCTTTAGAAAAAGAGGAAGGAGCTTCTTCCCAGAGAAAATCGGAGTTGACTGCATGTCAAAGATCTGCTCTTTCCCTCTCGTTGCTGTTCATCTCAGCAGAGTTTTCTGACAAAAAAGATAAAATAAATCTTCCTGTGAATTCACAGTGAAACTGTGCGCTACACTTTGATCCTTCGACTGCCTCAAAAAAAAGTAAACTGGTGTATAGGACAGGGATAGTTGAGCCTGCCTGAGAGAAGATTGCATTTTGAACAGTGTCGAGAGATCCTAGTCCGCCTTTGCACCCAATTTTCAGGAAATCTGTGGGCTACTGTCAGCCTGTGGGAACTGTCAGAGCTGGGAGAGAGCCCAGGAGAAATCTGCAGGAGAACTATTCACTTCTCACCACCACGCAATCTCCACTTCAAACTCTAATTTCCTCAGCAAATGTTACTCACCAAATCTTGGCTGCACTGAGCCTGATAAAAATTGGGGTGGGCTTGAAAATAATTTGAAAAAGCTGTGTCTAACCAGGCAATGGAAAGTTTAACACCATCCACTTATGTGCCTTAACGAGAGGAATGATTATCACAGGGTCCACCTAGAAAAGATTAGGTTTCCTACAGGAGGCAGAACGATACTTTTCCGTGTAAATGTTCAAATTACAGCAGCCTGTATGCTGGAGTTATTCTGGTTTATGCCTGATGTTCACGATGCCATTTTAAAATGCAAGCAAAGACGAATCTTGTCAGAGTTATAGTGGTTATGTTTTATCTAACCTCATTTACTTTACGGGGATGTTTCCGTTTGGTTAACATCTGATTTTTGCCAGATAAACTGTTTTCAGTTCCTGATAAAATGCTGTGAGAAAGCGATTTGATTGTATCTCTCCATAAAACCTAAAAACACTTGCTGCTTTCCTTCCTCTTTGTTGAAATTCAGAGCAACTAATCTAACACACGGTATGTTTAGATGACTGATAAAATGATCAGTTTAATAGTGGTCGTTGTATCAAAATCATTAACATTATAAAATCTGTAAACTGTAGTTTTAAAAGTCTGATCAAGTGGCAAGAACAATATTTCTAAGTCATGGTAATTGTATAATATTTGCTCTTATAGGTTAAGTCACTAACTATTTATATGAGGAAGGTATTTATATTGTTTGTATACATTGTATGTCTATTGTGAGATTATTTAGCGTTGGGTTTTTCGATAAGATAAGACTTTAAATGAAACCTAATAAGAATTGGATGAAGATCTCACTGTGTATTGGGCTGTGTTATTGTGTTGGGAGGATGTCAGGGTCTGCCTGAGTCTGTACAAGATCATAAGGAGGTTCTAGTTTAGCTCAGTTGATAAAGCAGGTGCCTCAGTACAGAGGCTGAAATCTTGTCGCACTACAGTGACAGATTGGACTCTGAATTGATCCTGTTTGTAGCGTGTCATTCCCCTGTTATTTTCAGTGTATCTGGTCATTACCCCCTCACTCTCCCACACCACAATTCATCTCTCTCAAAATATCCTGTCAAATAAAGGAAACATAACACCCACATTTAATTATGAAAGGTTATGTGATCAGTGTTATAACCCCTGTCTGCTGTAAAGTTTTTTTTTTTATTTAAGGTGACATTTGTCAACAGAATTTGACATTGGTAATCAGCATTCAGAAGTTTTAAAAATGATTAGTGATATTTCTGGTTTACATAATATTTTTTGTAATTGTATTTCATCGGTTTTTGCATTCACAACTGCACTGTATTTAAAAGAGATTTTTTTCCCCCCTCTTTTTTATTTTTATTTATTTTTATCTTTTATTTCTCAAAGCCTCCCGTAGACAGTTGTTGCAAATTAATTTAGCTATAAACACTCAGAGCAGTGAATCTGGGACTTGTGCATGGTTAGGCTAAATGTTACAGCACCAGTGTTACTGTATGTCGATGTCAAATGAACAAATACAATAAAAAATAATAAAACAAGGTGTGGACTAGTGGATATGTTACCTTCAGTGTATGGGTACGGATAAGGGTTACGTTTATGTTTCCAGCAGGAACCGATGTTCCGGGCTGTTGTTGCTGGTAAGGTAAAATAGAGAGGTGCACAAGTAATGTAAGCTAGCTGCAGACTAGCTGCTAGTGATGATGACTGCGTCGACATCTCTTCATTTGTGCATTTAATGTCCCTGAAGTAATGTCGTTAAGTCGTTATCATCAAACGTGCCTGTGTTTCTGTCACTCTGTAGTTTACTAAAAAAAATAATATCCGTCTAGTAGTCACTTAAAATAGACCGTAAAGATAAATATCCTTCTTCAACTTTATGTTCTTGAATGTTGTCCGCTTTTTTTTTATCTGTCAAAGTCATTGTCATTTCAAGTTGAGCAGTTTCTTTAGGGTCTGCTGAGGTGTGTGACTTAGATCAAACATTTACCCCACTTTGCGTCCTCTTCTGAACTGTAGGCTGAGCCATCAACAAGTGCATTACTACCCCCTGCTGTTACATCCAGTGTACTGCAGCTAACAGTGTTTCACTAAACAGCAGCTCCAGCCCTTTATGCTTTTCACCATTTATAATAATTCACATGAATTAAATTGGCTGTGTAACTCTTTATTATTAAACAGACTCTCCTTTAAGTAAGGACAGAAGACATTTAAACTTTTGAACTTTAGCCTGAGTTGCATATATCAAATATCAAACTGTATTGTGGGCTCGTGTTTTTTTTTTGTATGGATGGGATATATATGTATATATGTGTTGTGTTGTGTGTTTGTATGTATGCTGGCTACTGGAACACCTACATTTCCCTGCTGGGATGAATAAAGTATATCTTATCTTATCTTATCTTATCATTATTATTATTATTACTGTTTATGCTTATTTGAGTAAATATTTCCACGGGTTAATCATACAGTCACTGGTACAAAATTACCAAATTCACAGAATAACCCATGCAGACACTAATACTAATAACAGCTCTTTACCTTGTCTTTACATCACAGTTTATCAAATTAATCATCGGTTTCAGTGTGACAGAGAGAGTCATCATCAGCAGATACTTGAAACTGATTAGATGCTATGGAAGAAATTTCACAATGTTTAAGGGAAATTCATTGTCATTGAACCATTTCTCGTCAGTGAATGGTATTAACTTAAGTTATGACACCCATCATGATGGTATCTTGCCCTGAAGTCACCCCTAACTGAATGAAACATGACTCTCACCTTGATGATGTCACTGCTATGAAATGTGCTGTGTGGCTTTATTTGCACTGTTTGAAGCACCGAAGACAGATTTTGTGCAAAGTGTTTACATACAGACAAGATAATGTGAAAAGCTCTTGTTAGTGTAAATAGCTAAGTGTCATTTAAGATGATATCATTTTCTGTTTCTTATTTAAGACTTGGTGTTTTTTGTGCTGTCTGTTATGATGTACTGTACAATGTTGTGTAACACTTTGTGACCCAAGCCCCGCCTTTCCACACCTCCTAACCAAGAGAAGTCACAGGAGAGCTGGGCTTTGCAATAAAAGAGCGTTGCCGGCAGCTATGGAGTAAAGCATCTGCGGGACAGAACAAGTATCGGACGAAACATGCTATGGACAATATTACTACTGCTATTTAATGGACTCCTAATACTGGTTTACGTTTACTCCAGTCGTACGAGGTAAAGTTGTTTATCAATGCATTTCATACATTTTAACAGTTTAAGTCAATCGATCTGCAGAAGTTTTTACAAATATTATACTGTTATTGAAAAGAGCTTTTCATGTTATAAATCAATCAAAACAAAGATACAACTTTATTCTCGTAGTTATGACAGGTATCTCTTATTAAATATTGATACAAAAAGACTCATACAATTTGGATGACTCAGTGCCTTTAGTTTTGTGAGAAAAAACACTCAGTTTCTCCTTGTGGAGAAATTTGATAGCAGAAGTGCTGCATGACTTTTCACCGAACAACTGAAACTCTCTTATTACATAACTTCATGCTAACTGCAAACCTGTTGGTTGAGATTGAAGAATGAACGCTAGATAAAGCAACTCTTTCACATTTTTGCAATTTTAATGGATTTCCCTTCTACAAGCAGACAGAAGAATGAGCCACCTTTGGACAAAGGTGTCATCCCATGGCTCGGCCACGCTCTCGAGTTTGGAAAAGATGCTGCAAAGTTTTTGGCCCGGATGAAGGACAAACATGGGGACATCTTCACAGTAAGTTAGAATCAAGAATCTGATGTAGATTTTTTTTTTTGTTTACTTTCCAAACCCGCTATTTAAATAAGATAGTGATTTTTAAAATAAGGAACATTTTTTTGTGAATTAGACAAAAGATTGATAAGTAAATGGTTAAAAGATAGTTTTTTTTATACAGAAGGAAGAAGGCTGTACTCTGATCTGGTATCAAGATGTTTAATCTGGCATGCAAATCAGGGTTTTGAATGACAGAAACAAAACATTCATTTAGAAAAGGTGCCATGGTGAAAATGTGGTGGTAGCAAACAGACAATCGTCCTTTTCATTTTAATTATTCAGAAAACGTGTTGTTTTTACTGTTTGTTCATATTTTTGACCAAAACCAGCTCTAAATATAAAATCCAGAATAGAAAAGGTAAGAATAACAGAACAAGAGTTGCAACATCTTGATACAAGAAATATGCCAACAAATAAAATGTTGCCTTACAGGTCCGTGTTGCTGGTCATTACGTGACAGTGCTGTTGGACCCAAACTCTTTCGATGAGGTGCTGAACGACACCTTCTGCTTGGACTTTGCCCGCAGCAAAAAGCAGCTCTTACAAAGGATCTTTTGTCTTCAGCTGCCGAGCATCAAACCTACAGCGGAGAGGAAATGGATGGAACAGTAATGAGTACATCTTTTTTAACATAACCTTTATGCGTCAGGAAATTAGAAGATACAAATCTGGATCTAAGGGAGTTGCATATCTAAATGTAATTGTGTCTTATTCCCGCAGGCATTTTCAAGGTCTCAGCCTCTCCAAGCTAAGCAGTTCCATGAAGGCACACCTTCAGAAGCTTCTGTTGAGTGACCAGACAGATTGCCAACCTTCAAAGTGGACGCAGAACGGACTCTTTAGCCTTTGTTATAGTCTACTCTTCAGGTATCACATACATTTAACCGTACATTTGACTGTAAATCAGAGGTTGTTAGTGTTTGTACGATCATTAGGGCCAGACAGGCAGACTCTTAATTATTATTTCCGTTCTCAGGGCTGGGTATTTGACCTTGTTCGAGAGGATAGACGACGCTCCTGCAGTCTATAAAGAGTTTCGCAAGTTTGATGATCTTCTACCAAAACTGGCTCGTTGCTCACTTAAACGAGGTAAGCGGCACAAAATTCATAAAATTCCTTCACTTTCAAATTCCTCGCTGACTTTTTATCTAATGTCTTGCATAAGTATTCAACTCGCTTGTGATGTGTCATATCACATCTGCAAATAGACATTTTTTGAGGTTGTATGCACTGCCATGGTATTCATAACAATTAACAAAAGCGTCTAGTGCCCTCCTTAAACCCCTCACTAAGATAATGTGTAAGAAATTGGCTTCAGGTTAACTTGCACATCCAACAGATACTGTATCTGCATTTTTGTACTGCTCTTGTTTGTCACACATTCCCAAATCTGTAACTCCAGGCTGTATATAAAATATGTATACAGGTCAGAAAGCTCCATCAACACTTGTATTATGAAGATCAACTTTATTAACTAATTAGAGAGACAAGTTTCAGCTTGTGGCCTTCATCAGGGTCATGTCAACCTGTGTTGCTGGAGATTTTTTACTTTGTCAAGCCTTTCACTCTTCATGCACCTTGGTAGTTGGTGAATTTGTGCCAGGAAATTCCCACTTTATTCTCCATATGTATACATCAGAGTAACTTATGACTTGATGCCTAACAGGGGAAAGAAAAACAGCCGCTTTGTCCCGGGAGCGACTGTGGGAGCTTCTCTCTCCAAAGGGGGTAAGCTTCAGGCTGGATTCAAACTCCTGGCAGCAGAGCTACCATCACTTCCTGCAAGAGGAGGGAATCGATGCAGAAATGCAAAACAGAGCTTTCCTCCTGCAGCTTTGGACCACACAGGTGAAGTATTTCTCTTGGCTGTCTTCCTCCCACCCTTCCAAGCACAAAAAACCTCCAGCACACACAGAAACAAGGCCACTCATTGATACCAAAACATACTAACTCTCCACACCCAGACTGCATACTTGAATTCCACTTCAATGTGCTCAGCCTGCCAACAATGCAGCAGTTAAAGATCACAGATTCCTCTCAGCCAGTTACTCACAGCTGCCTGCCTCAACCTGTAACTCTGAGTGGAGTTTTGCCACTTCTCATCGGGTGAATCAGTTTCCATGAAATGTTATCATGTTTGTGGTTTTGTAACGCCATTTCAGAACAGTTGATTATTTAGGTTGTGTTAGTCAGCTGTAGTTGCTTCCTTTTTTTGACTTTCCGAGCAGAGTTTCCGATCATCCGCAGGAATTGTTCTTTATATAGATTTTTTCAATGTTTGCCTCAGGACAGCTCCACTTGAGACAATCCAGTAGTTAAAACTCTGTGCATGGATATAAAGTGTATTTGTATCTTCTATAGGCTATTAACTTTATGATACTTTGGTTGTTTAGCTCCACACTACACTTTTTTACAAATTCACAACTCTTAACCTTGTCCTTGAATAAGTCCTGATGTTGAATATGAAATAGTTTCAAATGAAAACAGTACGCACAGCTGCTGTTAGAAACCATATTGACACAAGCGTTAATAAAGAATTGCCTCAACAGTACAGACAAGTTCAGACCAACATGGTGTTGTTGCTTTGTTCTGCCATGAGGGGGAGTTAGAGAGCTGTTTGATTCTCTTATCTCATCTTTTCATGGAACATTTCAGCTGAATTAGCCTCGGCCCTCTGTTCACCTGCCAGTCTCACTGGAGCAAGGATTTTTCACCCAGTAGTAGCAGAGAGAATCATAATTTAAGCCAGCAAAAAGCAGAGCCAGGCCTCCTACAGCGAGCTCTTTTATTTGCTCTGCTGGTTTAGGAAAGACCATTATTGCTCCAGCATGTTTGTCTCTTTTGCTTTATCATGTCTGCTGGGATACTGGAGCACATAGTCTCAGTCTAGGAATGAAACTGGAGCACCACTGCAGAGAATAGAGGGATTAGATGTGAGACGTGTGAGAGGTGCCAGAATTGGTTTATACATGTGTTAAAATCAGGGTCCTGTACAAACTATAGTGCCTGCTGTCCTCTAATCATCTGTAAACAGTCTGCCTGAGAAATGTACACAGTGAAAATGATTGTTGGGTTATTTACTGTCAAGAAAGATGGTGCTTTAATGTGCTGTGATGTCTGCATATTCTCAATCCAAGTATATGTATTTTATGAGTTAAACTCTACTTATCATGTCAAAGAATAACTTTAAATCTTCTGTGAGGAGTTTTTATCTGGTTATTAAACAGACTGAAATGAATACTGATGCTTCAGGATGACCTGGGAAAGCTCAGGAGGAAAGATCATCAGAGGGGCGTCGATGGTCGAGTTCACGCACCCCATGTACAGAGGCTGTAGTCCTTGAAACAGGAGGCTCAGGTTCAAATCCGACCTGCAGCTCCTTTCCCCCCATGCCATGCTCCACTCTCTCTAGCCCCAATTACCAAAACTACCCACTGTCCTGTCTCTCAAATAAAGGCACAAAAGCCCCAAAATAACAGGGTCGGTGTCAGACAAGTCCATTAGTAGCGCATTCCCAAAACAGCCTTTTATTATTATTTTTCAGTATTTATTTTAAGCCCCTCAAAAACAGCTTCCTGTTTAATGGTGGACAGTGCATCCCCAGCACAACAGTGTTAGACGCAGACTTGTAAGTTTCATAATGCAACATGGTGAAAGTCTTAAAATGAACCTGATCAAATTTTAATGGGACAGGCCCTAAGAGTGTAAGAGTTGTAGTTGATCATACAGAAGTAGAAAGTTCCTGCTGTCAGTAGGAGGTGGTGCTGTTATTTTTTTCTTTTTAAATGTAATGCAGGTTGATTCAGGCTGGAACTAGATCAAGCACAAGAAATTCAATGCAGATATGATCATGTGCAGCCGAGCTATAACAGCTTACATTTGAATGGCGAGTCATGGCGTCGAATTCGAAAAGGTTCACAGAGCAAATTTGATGTGGTTATGTTCAACTAACAAATAACGTTAAAAAAAAGACACGAAAAATCAAATACATGTTAATATTTCAATCATCATACCAGAGATTTTTGGGCCAGATTGGAGTATGTCAATTTGAAATAAAAACTACTTCCAGTTTCATGGCAGTATATCATGGCAGCCACTTTGTGGACACTAGTATCTGTCTGTGTATATCTTGAATATGCAGCTTGAACTAACAGCAGGTTAGCTTAGCTTTGAATTAAGACACCAACATATAAAGTGTAAGGAGGACATGCTAAGGATATCTTCTATTCTAAATCTAACACATAGTCCACAATTGCTACACTGTTCCTTTAAAAAAAGCCCTCACCTATAGATCTAAGAGGACACACACACAAATTGTCACACTTTTAGTCCCTTTAGACACTTTGCCCCGGCTGTCAATGGAGGGCTGACCTGAGATGTGTAGAAGTAAGAAGAGCAGCTCCCCTAACTCATAGCAATTACTGTCTGACAGGCTCAGGTGTCTCTCCCTGATAAGCAGACAGACAGCAGTGTCTACAAAGTGGCTGCTCCTCATATCAGTCTTTTCAGTTTTACAAAGGGCTCAGATACGACGGAGTATTATCAGAAATAATCTTAAACATAAATAACCTGGCATATTTTTTTTGTTATATGCATTACATGACCACTTTTACAAAGTTTTTCAAGCAAGAAGTTTATATAAGGTTTTTTGTGGGTTTTTCTTTTCAGTGTAACACTGGACCTGCTGCCTTTTGGCTCCTTGGCTTCCTGCTCACTAACCCTGAGGCCATGGAGGCTGTTAAATCAGAGATCAGAGACCTTACCCTCCAGCACCCCCTTATCCACCCGCTGGAGGCACACAGCACACCTGTGTTTGGTAGGTAAAAGCTGCTAGCAGCCTTTTCACTTATTCCCTGAGCTCCTCCGGCTTTTGGTGTGGCCCCTGCAGTTAGATGAAAACAAATGCTCATTTGACCTGTTGGAAAAGACAAGACGAGTGCAGTGTAGAGAAACAATGACAGTGAGAATGAAAGTTTGTCCTTTTATTTAATTCAGAAGTGATTGCCTTTTTCATGTAATCATATCTGTGCAAATGTTTGTATCTCCCCAAATGATTCCAGGGGGCACAGCTGATTTAACTCGCCATGACAGCCCTCTGACATCCTCCACTCTGCTGTCCTTTTCGTTTTTGCAGATAGTGTTTTGAGTGAAACCCTACGGCTTACCGCGGCCGTGATGATCAGCAGAGAGGTGGTGCAGGACAAATGCCTGCGTATGGCCAATGGTCAGGAGTACCACCTCAGACAGGGGGACAGAGTATGTCTGTTCCCCTTTCTCAGCCCTCAGAATGACGCAGAGATACACCTGCAACCACAGGTACACAGGCCGCCAACCAACAAATAATCTTTTTTTTCCACTAAGTAATGTTATGCTGTTATTATTATTGTGTTTTACTCAGCATTTAAAGTTGTACTTTTAATTTTGATATTTTTTTGCTTTATAGTGCAAAAGCAACCTTGATTAGGTAGGATTCATCTGCATAAAATATTTGGGATAAGCTAATTTAGCCTACAAATTAAACAACAAAGAGATGACAAACAAGAAAGTAAGGTCAAATCAAAAATTATTTTGTTTGTCTTAAATGGTAAAAGGTCATAATTACATGTGGTATTTAAGAGAAAATGTGGCGCGGGAGACATATGATCAAGCTGATTTGCATAATATCCGAATGCACAACTCTAACAAATGCCTTCATGTATTTTATTTGTCTCCTTTGAACCAGATTTTTAAATATGATCGCTTCTTAAACGAGGACATGACAGTGAAAGATACATTCTACAAGGAAGGTAAAAGGCTGAAGTACATCACCATGCCTTGGGGAGCAGGGACAAACGTCTGTGTTGGGAAAGAGTTTGCTGTTACAACCATTAAACAGTAAGTTCAATGAAAAATATAATTTGTATCTTAGTTTTTTAAAACGCTGCATTCATGATCAAAGCATTTTCTGCAATTGCATCCCAGTTACCAGACAGGACTAGAAAAATACATCTCCACATACAATTAGCACCATTACCATTACTGTCCTTTCATTGCATGCCCTCATTCACCACTAGCAGCAAATTATAATGTCGTTATTGCCTCGCTACCTTGTAATGAGCAAAGAGGCTAAGGGCAGGAAAGGGAAGTCAGGTGGGAGGCAGGGTCTTTGTCAGACATCATATCCAGTTACAAAGGTTAGAGGTCATTAGCAACAGTAATCAGTAAGCTGGAGAAGGTTACATAATATTGATGTGTAGACTGGAGGGACTTTGGGAATAAGTTATTTTTAGGCATTTTGCTTTTCTATTTCAGATTGGTTGATTAACTTGGTGTGATTTTTCTCTCTGGTTATTTGTGGACATACCGCACATAAATGTTTTTGAAGACGTTGTGTTAGAATAGCTTTTTTTGGTGCCTGTTCTAAACTGATTTTCCCCTTGTTTGGGTAGATTTGTGTTCTTGTTCCTGACTCATCTTGACCTGGAGTTGTGCAACCCAGAGGATAAACTGCCTCCAGTGAACACCAGCCGCTACGGCTTTGGGATGCTGCAGCCAGACGGAGATCTTCAGATCCGATACAGACTGAAGAAGACACAGCCGGAAATGTGATTTGATTAACTGTAAATAATGTGGATTTATAAACCTTTTTTATATGTACTGTATCACTATTTATTTTTGGATTTTCTCTCTGTCTATAGTATATTTATCTTTGGTTTTGGTATTTTCAATAAAAAGGACAAACTGAGAAAAACGTGACGTATTTCTCATTTGTAACACTGAAGAGTTGTTCCCACATTCATCTGCTGAGGGATGAAAGTCTTTCTGTGCTCACCTGATATCTGAGTTTGTCTACGTTAGGCGGTTTTATCACATCACACTAATGTTGAGGCATTCATTTGTAGTCTCCAACTTACAGAAATGTGGAAACATCACACCTTCAAGACATGAGCAGTGAGACTTGATTTGGAGATTGATTGTAATAGGAGACATCTTGTGGCAGCCATGAAGATATTTACCTATCAATGATGAATTGGTAGGCAAATAGATTGATCAATAGATCAATAGATTGAGGAAGACTACGATGTCATTTTAAGAATTTTCAATTCATAAGTTGGAAAAAAAGCACCAAGTCAATAAAATGCGTGGTTATAGAACATATTTGGCAATACGAAACAATCTAATAAGACGAATAGACGAACTGTGATGCCCTGTGTCAATGTGTATTTTCTAATGTCACCATGTACAGTAGATGTGATCAGAGCAGGGGGAATAGCAAGTTTATGGGGGTTCAATTAAAAAAATATCGCATAGGTGTTCAGATTGCAGTGCAGTGTTAAATTAAGTAGTCTTAAGTCAAACAAACGAAACACAAATGCATTAGAGAAAAAAGAAAGAAGACATTGTTTTGATCCCTTTCTCTGCATGTAGGCTAGTGTCATTGATTTTCGCTCCTATATTGTTGGCTCTGTGCCTCCGATTATGACACGAAACTATACATAGTAGCCTGTATAGAAACCTACATACCCATCTTTCCAATCTTTTCGTGCACCATCATTACCGTTCTGAAAACATGCAGCCCTGCGCAAACATAACGGCAGTGCATCAGGTTGAGGCTGCTCAGTGATGGAGCCAGGCGTGGAGTCTCGGAGCTGAAAGAGTTAATGAGCTGTGGAGGAAAGCTCTGGAGCTGCCATGGATCCACCTTCAGAGAGAAGCGGCGCCTCCTCACACAGCTGACCGGGAGCACAGGTAGTCTGTCCGGCGTACTTGTTGATCTTTCTGGGCGAAGCAGCGGCTGGTTATGCGGAGCAGGAAGCCGGCTGGTGGGCAGTAGATCGTGCTGGGGATCTCTCTGCCATGTCGGAGGCAGAGGAGGGAGACATGGATTGGGTTAGACCCCAGCAATAGTAAACCAATAACGACGCCTGCTTCTTTCTTTTTTTTTTTTCTTCTTTTTTGTAATGCTTCTGCTTCATCTCCGTGTGTGCCTGCCTGCGGATTGATTGTTCATTGAGGTACGTGCTGGTTTGAAGATGACAACAACTCACTACGGTATTATTTAAAAGATTATTTCAATCTTTCCACTCTTGGTCATATATAACTAATCAATTGTAATAGAAAACCAGTGTTATGTAGCACTACTCTGCATTTAAACTGCACCAATATGGAGCAGGCAGCCTTTTGGAAACAGAGAATTACCTAACGATGGAGGATTTGCATCACAACAGTGCAGTTGCAGATGATTGAATCTCACACTGAGCTTATTTTCATCCTCAGCATATAAGCACAATGTGAACGCAGGTAGGAATGGGTTGGTGCGTTCAATGTTGAATCATTTTATCGAAGCCTTTACTTTAATAAAAAAAAGGAGGGTGGGGGCTCTCTCAAATCTATATTTCTTTTCCCTGCTTCTACGCAGGCTGTTATTGCGTGTGAAAGAAACAACAATGTTTAACGCACCAGTTCTACATTCTCTGCCAATGCTTGTATTCTTAAGGGCTTTGTTTTCGATGCTAAGTCAATGCATAGGCCTATTTGTGTTTGTGAAGTGTTACAAACTTTGTGTGACAGTGATCAATGATCACATTTGCAGGCCTGGGGAGTTGTTTGGCTTCCACAATGTAAACAACATGAGCAGCATGAAAAAAAAAAAAATAAGAACAAGAAAATTACAGCTTGTGCCATTCCTGCAGCCACAAATGGATCCAAAAATGTTAGACCCTGTGTGAGAGGAAGATGTGGGTTATTTATTTTCAGCCTGCCTCCCCAGGGGAGCTCAGGCAGTCAGCAGTGCTTCTCGGTGTTTCAGCACCATTAAAGTGGACAGCGCTCACTTTGGACCACAATCATTACAGTGGTGGTGGTCCTGCTCCCCACCCACATAACCCCTACCACTTTTAGTAATGAGCAAACATTAACCACATTCTTTGGATGAAAAACTCTACTATGTCCAAAAAGGCAAACAAATAGATCACACAGGGAGATAATAACCCTTGTTTTTCTACATCTTTTTTTTACCCTTCATCAAGTCATGTGAGACGTTAAAGAAACTCGTTTTTCTTACTAGTCAAAGTTGAATAGTTTAACTTTTATGTTCTTTTCCATTTGATAATAATCCAACACCATAGGGGAGATGTACTCAGAATGAAAAGTAAAGTCTGTGTCAGTGGGGTTTAATGTTTTGCTACAAAGTACTTGTATTCAACACACACCTTTCTTATAGTTGACGAAAGAATGAGATTATCTACAAATTAGCCATCAATCCAAATTGTGTTATCATTTTAACCCTGAATAAAAATGTCTGATTCTGAGGACTGTTAGTGGGTATGAGTCATCTCAAAAACCCACAATGTGAGGGTGTGTTTATTGTTGATTCAGGAGCTAATTTAAAGATTTATAGATGATACGATAGACAATGCAATAACTGATAACTTAACAACAACTGCCAGTAATTGAACTAATCAGTCCTTAAATGCCTGTGACAAGATCCATGCTGTGTTTCAATTAAATCATGTTTGAAGAGATTTTTGGTGAAAGTATGGGAAGCTATAGGTACGTGGTTTATGTATTATTAAGTCTGGGTTCCATTTTTCCAGAGTTCCAAGGGCAGATTTATTGTTTGTTTGAAAAGATACAAAAAAAACCCCAAGAAGATCGTTAGATAATGTGATGAGAGTTAATTAAAAGAGAAATGTCCAAAGATAATAGTATGCCTTATTTGTTTTATATTCTTCTACCCTTTAAATCCAGGGATTTATTTTTTAAATATTTTTCGAACCCGGGCCGCCTGCCTGGAGGACCACAGCCCCATACATGGGGCCAAAAATCCAGCAGCATAGTACACTGGATTTAAAAAAAAATGGACTTATGGCTGGATTTTCCCAGTGGGAAGTTATGTTCAGTGAAGATTCAAAAAATAATTTAAAGGAGGACACAGATGATAGGGTTGAACCTGGTCTTCAAAGTCCTACTCAAAGCCAGTGGTTCCAATGCTTGAGCAGTTCAAATGACAAGTTTCTTTTAAATTGTGTAATTTTTAGGGCTTTTAGAGGCCTGAAGAGGTTAAAAAGCATTATAATTAAAAACAGAGGCAAAACTTGGAAAAGGTGCAAAAATCCTAGCTACATTGTCTAACCGTAATTGTTCTTTTTATTCTTTTCAAATCATTCTGTCACCTGTCAGATGTATCCTTTGAACCCTGACTCTTGAGACTGACAGCCTAAAACTTTATTCACTCTATATTGTGATTGTGTGGGCCTTGATGTCACTGTCCAACCCTACTATAGTAATGATTTGTTTGTGTTTTTTTCTAACCCTTCAGATACCATTACAATAAGCATGAGGAACATCTGAACTCCATAGTCCCAAATGTTTGCCTCCTTGCTCCTCGAACCAAAGGTCACCATGGAGAAATCCTTGACCGAATTAAATAAAGCGGCCTCACACTCGACAACCTCACTGCCACCTGAACCGGTGGACATCCTTCGCAGCAAGACATGTTTCCGCAGAGTTCGGCTGAATGTGGGGGGTCTCCCTCATGAAGTCTTGTGGCGAACGTTGGATAGGCTACCACGAACACGTTTGGGAAAGCTACGAGATTGCAATACCCATGAATCTCTCATGGAGGTGTGTGATGACTACAACCTGGAGGAGAACGAGTACTTTTTTGACCGACATCCAGGGGCGTTCACATCGATTCTGAACTTCTACCGCACAGGTAAGCTGCACATGATGGAGGAAATGTGTGCCCTGTCGTTCAGTCAGGAACTCGACTACTGGGGCATTGACGAGATCTACCTGGAGTCTTGTTGTCAGGCGAGGTACCACCAGAAAAAGGAGCAAATGAACGAGGAGCTGAAAAGAGAGGCCGACAACATGAAAGACAGAGAGGGAGAAGAATTTGACAACACTTGCTGTGCAGAAAAACGAAAGAAGCTCTGGGATCTCCTGGAAAAGCCGAGCTCATCTGTTGCTGCAAAGGTAAATGAATGGGTGTTGGGTTTAAGAGATGAGTATATGATTGGTTAGATCAATCCTGCATGTTGGTGACTGCTACAGGTTTACAATCAACTAAATCAGTAAAGAAACACACAACATGTAAACGCTGAACAGTAGTAATAAGTTATCATGTCATTTAGCTAGTTTGAACTACATTGGACTGAATATCTCATCAACTTTAGATGTTACTAGTGCATCAAATTTTGCCCAAACATTCATGGACATAGAGGACAATGCCAATAACTCTGGTACTTTTACACGAGCATAATTTTTGGCACGTGTAGTTTTGGGTGAGATGTCTTGAGAATTATAGGATTGATTACTGAGACATTGGTGCACACTTTTACATTCCCCCTAAAGATTCATAAAAAAAATCAACCTTTTCCTTTTGCATTTCCACTACACCTTATCCGGGGGAAATTAGGTAGCTCAAAACTGATGAACTTCCCATCATTTTCTGCTAAAAGGTATCAGGAGGGGGGCTAGCAGGGTCTAAAGTCAGTCACAACAATCACACACTGCTAATTTCAGCAATGAGGGTTCTAATCTGGTGGAGATATGTAGCAATAAATGGAGGGTAATGAGGTCAAGATAGAAAAAGAGGACTGTCTGAACAAACTGCATTTAAACTGGATGTTGGCGCAGTGAACCTATGGTAACTTGTTTCTTGTGTGCCTCAGGCTATGACGTAAGCTACAACTGGCATGCATCTACTAGCTAGCAGATTCTGTGTAGTGCTGTCTCCAT